GATTCGGAGGGGAGTTCCAAGAATCGATGGCATCTAGAAAATCAAAATCTGATGGGTTTGTGGTGCGTTGTACTTTGCATGGTAACACGCAATGGGACACGTAGAGACTTGTCATTAGCTATATACTCCAACATTAACTATCATTAATTTTAAAACATCTGATTAAATAAAGTAAGTAACCAGGCTTGATAATTAGTCTACCTAGCTAGAATTGTCCAAATTAGTGAAAGTGGGACGAAACTGATGACTGATGTGTTGAGACTTGAGAGTTAGGCTTGATTCTTAAACATTCGATCTCATCTTCCCATTTTTCATTATTGTAAATATATATTAATATATCTTTAACGATGAACACACAAAAACTCATTAAACTTATTTGATCCAATCATCCAAACGCTTGAGAGATAAACAACAATTCTTAAGATACTAATAATGTTAAATAGTTTTTAAAATGATTTTTAGTGGTTCCACTTTACAGACGTCTCTATAGATGGTAATTGCATTTATAAGAAGATGTCATGCTTTCTAAAAGAAGAAGGCTGCACATACATAATCTTTTGGCTTGGATCAGATCAATTATATATGGCTTAAAGACATTGATTAATACGTATATCTAAAATCTAATATTAAATTTAAAACATTGATTACCTTTGCTCTCACCGTCACCTGCTGCTTCTATACCTAATTATATAATTAGCCAACAGTTTCAACATAAACCACCATCTAAACATGTTTGAAACTCAAATTGGTTTTTGTATACCATAAAATTAAAGAAAATCAAGTTTTCTTTGGCAGTCATGCAATTTACATAAATCACTTTGTCGATCTTACAACAATTGTTTCCCAATAAACCATCGACTGATGCAAGATATACATTTTGGTATATTTCAAAATTTGTAAGTAAAATTATAAAGATCTAATTAATTTACTTATATATATGATAAGACTAATAATCCACACATAGCAAACGCCGTGCCGTGTCCATTAAATTAGAAATTTCGATTATTATAAAAGTATTACCCAATGATTTAATAAGCAGATGGGACTAAGCAATCTTATCTGTTAAGGAGTATATATATCTCTACATGATTATGGGCTCAAATGTAATAATTGAAATTTTCTACCGAGCCAATAGCTCAGACAAAACCTAGAGATTGCTGGTTCGATTGACTATTGAAATGGGACTATAGAACATGCTATGATTTTAAATTTGAAGTGATGTATGAACCTAGGCTCAAAACTTTTTAGTTATAAAAGAAATATATTTTTCATCAAAGTTTTTTAAAAAAAAAGAATTTTCTAATGACAATAACTAAAAAAAAAAGTGGAAAAAATCGATACATACACATAGATTATTTTTTTTTTGCCAGTCAAATTGTAGTTTTTCAATATTGGTGGGTTACAACGTACTGGTCCACTAGCCTTTTAAACCTCTTAGAAGAGAATTCCCAGATTTGAACTCTAGTTTGATGAGAAGACATCACATGTGGTTTACTACTGTCCCACATGCTCCTCTACAGACGCTTAATAGTATCGTTTTTGCTACTGCTTAATTTTATTATTTTTGTGATTGGT